AATAACTCCTATGACCCAATGTGTAGTTTCTGCATATGCTAGCTCCTCTCACAATTTTGAGTTTGCCAGCATTGATTAAGTGATCTGACGAATCAACACCAAACACTTCACTTTTTTTTTCATTTTTTTATAACAACTTCATCCTAGGCAAAATATCTACACAATATCTATAGAATTCTGAGCATAATTTATCGCATAATGTTTCCTCTATATCTAGGATCTTTAAGTAAAATAGCAATCTTTAATATATCAGATGACCTGGTGTTGTTCAATCTAAATCATGAATCAATCCATTATGATGCCTTTCCTTCGTCTACACGAAATGCGCAACGATGTTTTGAAAGTCGATTGGGAATGTTCATGGGTGCAGTTTTCGACTTCTGAATATAACCGAATGGTTAAATGAGTCCGAATTAAACAAATTGGGGTACATTGTGTAGTATTGAAAATGAGGTAGCATAGCGATTTACAACTTTGCCTAAAGTTTTAAAAAAGCATAACCTTGTTAAAGTAAGAAGGAAGTTCAGATTAGATTTTGCATTTTTGCGTTAGTTTTCATTGGCAATGAACAAGTATTCTATCCAGATATTTAAACATCTGATATAACTTAATGCTTATGCCTAGTTTCAAGGAGTATGGCATTCGATTATCTCTGTCATTCTTTAATGCATTCTTAGTGAAATGTCATTGAATGTGCGGCCATATACATTTCGGCTTAATAAAAATTTCTGTTTGGGAACTGTGAACATCCTCGATGGTACTATTGATGCTTATTCAGTGTTCTTGAATAAATTTGTCATCACTTTTAAAGTAGAGAGGTTTCGCTGTCAGTAATTTTGACAAACGGAGTCATATCTCAATATGCTTTACAGCAGAAAATGAGCATGTCAGTAGCAGGATCGGAAAAGTCTGTCAGGCATTCACTACCCTGAAATCAGTGTGAAAATCTGCTGCAGTCATCATGAAGAAGATATGAAACTGATATGAAACACTGATGTCAAGTGAGTTAGTGCTTCTATATAGTTCAGAGTTGTGTCATCTCAACGAGACCCATTTCAACAGACCACCGCAAATTTGAACCAGCAGCCTCCTTTGCTCAGTAGCAACGAACTCTGATAATGAAGCAGTTAAAGTACTAATCGTTCAGCAAATATGCCGAAACAATAGTAATGCATTGAATCTACACAAAGCAGATGGTTGAGTGCATTTATGCGTCAGGTTCTGAAGTCTAACTCGATCACGCAACAACAAATTTGGTGAGAGTATGATAGTGACAATGAATAGATCTTGTGACGAGTGAGCAAACACCTGTAAGGAATCGTGTAGTCAGCTGAAAATTACTGTGGAGATCAAGTTGAAGTGAGGATGTTTTACTGAAGCTGTATGTCTCACCCCGTTGCCGATAAGATAATAATATAATAATAAGTTAATGTATATCTCAGTGAACGGCTTGGTAAGTATTATAAAGTATACGCTCTTTCATTCTTTTGCTAAATAACCTTTGTTGTTGTTAAATATTTAATATAATACTTTAGTGATTCCCTTGAGTTCTCAGTGGAATATAGGTCTTCAAGCTTGAGCTTTTTAAACCTAGTAGCAGTCGTGTTTCTTTATACGGTGGCTTTACCATCCTAAAGCATAATCTTTCTTAATTGCCAGGCTTATCACAGGACTGAAGAGGTTTAGGACTGCTTAGCCAGAGATGAAACCCATTAAGATTCTACCACTGAAACACGGAAGCTTAGAATAATACTAGAAAATGCTTTTGTTTTCAAATCAGGGGCAAATAATTTGCAAATAAGATTCACTTTTTGTTTCAACAAATTTATTATCAATATGTACAGTCACATATACAAAAATGGTTTTTAAGAAATTATATCCAGTAAGAGAATTAGATAAAAAGTGTGAACAAATGAAATAATAATAGTATGAAATGCAATTAAAATATCTGTGATTATAATCATAGTTAAATATCGAATAGCAAAATAATTAGTGTCATCATCCTGGAGAGAATCAAACAAGCCCTAGATGAAAAACTTCGTCCGGAACAGGCCGGATTCAGGAGAAACAAATCACGTATTGATCAAATCACCACTCTACGGATCATCATTGAACAAAGCTTGGAATGGCAGTCACCTCTCTATATCGCTCAACTTCATCGACTTTGAAAAGGCCTTCGACAGCGTCGATCGAGAGGTCATTTGGAAACTACTTCGCTACTACAAGGGTGTCCCATCGACAATTATACACCTCATCCAACAGTTATACGACAATGCTGCATGCCAAGTAATCCACAACGGGAAACTTACGGAAGCCTTCGAATTGAGGACGAGAGTGAGGCAAGGCTGTCTACTATCACCAATGATCTTCCTGATTGCAGTAGATTGGATAATGCGACAGACAACGGCAACCAACGAGGGAACAGGCATAAAATGGACTGACACAAAAGACTTGGAGGATCTGGATTTCGCCGATGATATATGTCTGATTTCCCATAAACTGGAAGATATGCAAGTGAAAAGTAACAAGTTGGCAGAAGACGCATCAAAGATAGGACTTCAGGTGAACATAGATAAACAGAGATGATGAAGATTCCTAGCCAACATCGACAACACCAACAGACCACAATAAGCATAAATGGGAGGAACCTGAAAGAAACAACCTCCTTCACCTACCTGGGAAGCATCGTCTCAACTACAGGCGGAACTGACGAGGACATCAAAGCCAGAATCGGAAAAGCAAGACAAGCTTTCATTACTCTCAAATCTGTGTGGAGGTCAACAGCACTCAGCATCAAAAATAAGATCCGGATTTTCAACTCCAACGTAAAGTCAGTGCTACTATACGGATCAGAGACTTGGCGAGTCATAAAGAGCATCTCAAACAAACTTCAAACCTTCATTAACAGCTGTCTCCGCTCAATACTCAAGATCAGATGTCCTGCCAGGAAAGATCAGAAACAGGGATCTCTGGGAGTGAACCAATCAGGAACCGATTGTGAAACAAATAGGCAGAAAGAAATGGAGATGGATTGGACATACGCTGAGGAAACCATCAAGTGACATCACTAGACAAGCCATCGCTCGAGTGGAACCCGAAAGGGAGGCGGCGAGTTGGTCGTCCAAGGGTGACTTGGAGGAGGTCATGCGAGGAGGAGATGAAAGCATGTGGACAGACCTGGAGCAGGGTGAAAATGTTGTCAGAAAACCGAAGTCAATGGAGGTGCGCGGCTGAAGCCCTATGTTCCTCTAGGAACTAAAGGATACAATAATAATAATAATAATAATAGAATAATATATAAGGTTATGGTTGTTGGAAAGGTACACATAATTATAGGATTAGTAGACGAATATAAAATGTTACACAACATGGTGTGAAATTTGATTCATTCTAAATCCAAAATTTTTACTTTATATTTTATATTTTTTGATTACAGCTTGATTCCACACAGTTTTTTTGGTACAAGTATGAAATTTTCAGCATGGATATCGGTAGCCCAAATTTTGCAGGCCAGCCATAGATATCAGGTGTGAATCAGCAGGGGATCGAACCCCGGACCATGTGCATGGTCGGCGAGAGTCCTAACCACTGTGCCACCGATGCACATAATAGTGAAACAATAGTGAATTCTATATTATCAAATTTCACACCATATTATGTAACATTTTATATTAGCCTACTGCACCTGTCGATGAAATCTACAACGGTTAGTTTAAGCCACGTAGGAAAGTGTAGACTTCCTGATTAGGGTCCTCGGGAAGGTAAAAATCAATGGTTGGAAACAATTGGCGACATGGCTCAAAATCTTTCTCAATGACAGCACAGAAGTATCCACTCTCTCTGACTTATGGTTTCCAATGAAACCATATTGTTCTTCGTTATTACTAAACCTTTGTTGGTATTAGATGGTTGAAGGCGGTCGGCAGGAAGCCTTGGACCTAGGTTGGCACTCGTCAGCAAGGCGTATCTGCAATGAGTTCCTTCAAAGTTGCAGACACGCCTTGCTGATGAGTGCCAACTAGCACGAAACCTAGGTCCAAGGCTTCCTGTGGCCGATTGCCTCCAACCATCTAATACCATCAAATCAACGTTCACCGTGTTGGTGAGCTAGCTAGAACGGTGGTCACATTACAAACCTGACTGATAGGATTCAGTCTACACCAATCAGAGGACTAGACGCATCACACTAGTTACTAGTGTCAAATCAAAATACTAGTCCTTTGTCTCACATCTCTGTTTACTATCTCTATTATGCATTTCTTCTACTTTCTTCTCTTGCTTTGTGTGCTACATGGAGAGAGTGTGGCGACTCGAACAGCCGCAAATATGTGCATAGTTCTTTGTCGAAAACATACAGAGAGACATTAGCCTACTAACCCTATAATTATGCACCCCTTTCCAACATCTATACACCTTATGAATTATTTTATATTTGACACCAGTTGTTTTGCCACTTGACATTTAACTATGAGTATAATCACAAATATTTTAGTTGCATTTCATACTATTATTATTTCATGTATTGACACGTTTCATCGAATTCCCTCACCGGATATAATTTTTGAAAATTGTTTGTGTAAATATGGTTGTACAGCTTGATAATAAATTCGTTGTTCAAAAGAGTTTCTTCGCCGAATATTGTGTTTTCTTAATGCTACAATGGAACTATTAAATTATTGGAATATTTGTGCATTTTGAATTCTTATGGTAAATAACAGCAAAAGCAATCAAATTTTGAATACATTAATGATATTTATTGGAACAATTGAATGGTTGAAAGAGTTATTTAATTATAGCATACTCCTCAAAGAGAAGATAATTAAAAGACATATCATCAGTGACAGTCTTTTTGTAACAATTTGATAATTTTATTTCTCTGACAACCATATTTTAAGAGCAAGTAAGACAAAAAACTATAATAATAACATAAAGTTGATAGTAAGTCGTATAGAATAAAACCAAAAAGTTATAATTCAGAAAATTATTAAGGTGTATATCGTAGACTTCGAATTGAGAATCATGAGCATTTTATTATTGTCACGTATGCAAACATTGACTGTTCAGAACTTTAATATAGAGTAGAGAATGACTGCGACGGATTTAGATGAACTCACTTTTTCTTTGTGATTTTTACTAAAATTTGAACGGTGTATCTTCCTTTAATTTCATGTGAACGACAAGATACATTACATTTCTTGGAAAATACCCATATGGACATTGGAAAGAAGAGAACATGAAGTTCAGCAAAGATATCTTTTCGGCGATTTCATTCTCAAAAGCTTTACAATCGCATTTATATAGATTATTTTAACATGGATAGAATTGTTATTTGTTTAATTTTGCATAGTAACGAAGGTGATAATAATTTTCAACTTGATATGATAGTTTGAAGGTACGAATATAGATTACAAGAGGCTTAGAGACAAGATTTCATAAGATTAGAAAAAAGTCACAACGTATGCAAAAAATTAATATTTGATAACTGGAGAAATAATTTTAAAGGCGAATCGAAGGTGATAATTATTTTCGACTTGATATGAATTACAAGAGGTTTAGAAACGCAGGGATAGGACGAACTACAGGTGTGAACAAAATGAGCATGGAAACAAATTGAAATCAAACTAACTAACATGTCAAGTTGAAAAAATTTGATTTCAATTTGTTTCCATGCTCATTTTGTTCACACCTGTAGTTCGTCCTATCCCTGCGTTTCTAAACCTCTTGTAATTCATATCAAGTCGAAAATAATTATCACCTTCGATTCGCCTTTAAAATTATTTCTCCAGTTATCAAATATTAATTTTTTGCATACGTTGTAACTATTTTCTAATCCTATGAAATCTTGTCTCTAAGCCTCTTGTAATCTATATTCGTACCTTCAAACTATCATATCAAGTTGAAAATTATTATCACCTTCGTTACTATGCGAAATTAAACAAATAATAATTCTATCCATGTTAAAATAATCTATATAAATGCGATTGTACAGCTTTTGAGAATGAAATCGCCGAAAACTTTACATTTCATCAAATTGTTTGACTAATTATACGACAAATTGTTAATTGGAGGATATCATCAACATGAACTGACATCAGTTAGGGGATGATTAGAAAGCCTAGTAGTACTGGACAGCTGTTTCATCCTAGTTTGGGGATTTTCGGCAGTGGTCACGCTTTAACATGAATTGGCGATCCAATGTGCGGGCCTTTGGATCGGATGCCAGTGGCCTAATGCTATACAAGCTCGCCTTGTAACCAGGAGGTCCTAGACTCGAACCCAGATTGGTACGCATTGATGAAGAGTTACCAACTAGGATGAAACAGCAAGTTGTCGAGTACTCTTAGCTGGTTTCCCAAAGGTTCTCTAACTAATTTCAGCTTACGATAAGATCCTCTAACCAATCAAACTAAACCATTACTTAAAAATTGAACAATTGTTGATAGAGGTACCTTCTCTTAAACATGGAACAAATCTCATAGTATGTGCTGTTACACAATTTGTTTAAATTATGATCATTTTAAAAAATCGTTTATAATAATCACTTGAGGACTGTAAGCCACTATGTCGAACTGATATCCGAAGAGGCAAATACCACATATAATTGATTTTAAACCTTAAAGCCAAATTTGAAGCTTCTGTGTGTATTACGAAACACAATGAACATTTATTGAATGAAAAATATTTTATTACATTCATGTATTACGACTAATTTCCAACTCACACGAACATCACCCCTTGGCACAGGAGTTGATTGACTTCTAAAACTGCCAGGTGAATATATTCATTTTAATATACAGTCTGAGAAAATATTTATAGAATCAAAATATGGTACAAGCTTTCTTTTTACGAAGAAGCTGAGAATAACTTATTGCTTCGTCCTACAGGATCCCTCAATAAACAGATTGAAACTTTATTAAGTGTAATGGGTTCTAGGTAGGATTATTTCCCACAAACGTAGTCACCTATCAGATTTATTGTGAGTAGACTGATATGGTTTCATGTATACGTTACTGCATTATCACAGCTGTGTAAGGATCTGTGTAAGGATGGATAGAAATAACATCCATTACATAAACATTAGGAGGTAACCATATGTCAAATAATTTTTGAACGCATACTTTATTTTCTTAGTGTTAGCTCTTCGAGGTAACGGCAGTTAGAGCACTCTCCGATCATCCACATAGTCCGGGGTTTGATCTCCAGCCGACGCACTCCTATACCTCGCTAAGACATTAATAGAAGGTGCTAGAGAAGAAGGGTTATGCATGAGGCTAGCAACTCTATCCTATAAAAATAAACACTGCTACAGAAACTTCACTCCTCTAGTTTGAAGCCCTATGTCCCAAGGGGAACATAAAGGAATAAAAAAAGTATCTTAAATTATCTGCATTTTTCAATACATTGAGGGGAAGTAATGCTCAAATCTCTTTTTGTTTTATCGCATAGCCATAAATAGAATGGGAATGAAAATAATTGATTACTTACGGTGTTGCAACATCACTATTCTGATTATCCTGAAAGAACAAAAAATTGTTAACAAATTCCGAAATTTCATCTTCCACGTTGCCTATTACATGTTGCTGAGAATTTAAAAAACTTCATCCTCAGGTTGGTATGAGAAGTAATTATAATGAACAATTTATTCCTGGATAAAAAAATGACATTACACCTAGCTTGTAAGTATGAAATCTACTGCAGCCTAATATACCAACAAGTCTAGATTCCACCCATGAAATATATTTAAGGATGTTTCTTCATATAAAAGTAGAAGTCACTGTTCGCCATTATTATATGGGTGGATTTCATTAGGACGGTTAACAATAAAAAAATCACTAACTAGGTTTTAAGTGTCATTAATTCAGATATCTGGATGATTGGTGTGATTATAATTTCTTGGACATTTCCATCTTTCAAATTCCTATTTAGGCATTTCAAAAAACACCAGATTGAGCGAAGAAATATATTACTTCTGATTAGTTCCTCATCATTGGCTGCCTCTACACTAATATATAGTTTCTTACATCGAAGATGTTTTCCCAGTCAAGTGGTTATTTTACTAAATCAGTTCTAGTTATAGGTGGGGGTGAAATCAAGAGGTCGTAGGTCTTCAAAACAAATAACTAATAGACGTTAGTGACAAGATACCTTAGTTTTAAAAAAGGGAAGAAGCGCATCAAAAAGGCCTTCAAAAGGACCTTATATGCAGCTAAGATATGCTGTGTAGTCACTAGCCGACCAATAATTAGTTTAAGTAATAAAGACAGATTACCCTGTTTCGCCTCTTCCATGTCTATTTATCAGTTAAACTGCCTTTGTGGAGCTAGTTGTATGAGACGTACGACCAGACAAGTCCATCGTGAAATTTCTGTACACCTCATATCTTGGTTTGGCAAAGGTCAGAATAAATCGATACCCAGCTCATCTTGTCGGTTCTAAACATCAAATAGACTTTAACAAAGCTTGTAAAGTTATTTATCGTATATCGCCCAATCTATCGCTTCGTCTACAAGTACAACTTTTACATACAGTGAAGGCAATTGGAATTCATTTGAACAAGCCACATCTGTGTGTTCAAAACTAATTTGTATAGCCCCTTTCTTTGCCATAGCCATAGCTACATAATATGCATTAGGTTTTTAAAAAAATTTTCTCTTCCCCTTGTAACTATTTTTTGACTTTGTTAAACGTTACAAGCTTTAAAGTTCTACCTAATTCCACTAAGTCGTTTGTATTCTAAGTCATTCTATTCTTCCTAAACATCATTGTTATTTTACAAAATTCTTGATTATGTAATAACTTGTTGCCAGCGCCTACGAATCAACTGATCTTGAATTCCATAATTAATTATCACCCATCTTTTAAAACTTAGATAACTTCTTACTAACATATATAAGTTATTTGTTTTGAAGACCTTCAACCTCTTAATTTCACCCCAGCCTATACCTGGAACTGATTAACTAAAATAACCACTTGATTGATAAAACATTTCCGATGTAAGAAACTACATATTAGTGTAGAGGCAGCCGATGATGAAGAACTAATCAGAAGTAATATATTTTTGTTCGCTCACTCTGTTTTATTTCCAATTTTACTCAATAATAAGATCACTTGGAATAGCTCTTGAGTTTAGAGCACTACTACCCCTTAATCTCAACTCTTCTCACTTTGCATCTCATCAGGCATAACTAAAAGTCATCATTAAATATTGTATACTCGTACAACTTAGTATTGAAACTCAACGATAATGTATTTGACCGGCTTCTTATGTGATGGAAACAATATTAAGCGCGAAACCTACAAACTACTATGTTATTAGCAAAATAATTTTAATTTTATTTTTGCTGTTGTGTATTATAAGTACTGTTTAGGGATAAAGCAAATAATTATTACTATTATGAATGCAGTTTGTAGTGTAACTGTGTAAAATTAAAATAAGGATCGAGGCATCATTCCTAATTCAAATGGTCTAACGAAGACCAATAACTATAAGACCTTTAAGGCATGATTATTACAAAACGTTAGATACATGGTATTGTATGGACTTTTCTTCCACAAAATATACCTGATGATATGTTCACTGAACCTTTATGTGACCATTTCTCTAAAAAGTCTGTAATTAACGCGTGAACAAGGTCTAAAATTACAACTGTCGGATAACTATCGAATAACAAAAATGTAAGTCGAGATGCGTGTTTAGTTCTGATAGTTATTTTTCAAGGTTTTGTCTATCTAATTAACTGATAAAAACGCTTGAACCATTTGTGAAGCATTGAATATGTCTTAGAATAACAGTGAAACAATAACTTACAGGTGTGCCGCCTCCTCCAGAAGACGTAACAGTATTGCTCCTAGTGAGGCAAGTGATCAAGGATAAGAATGCGAAATGGGATAATTATCAGTGTTAGTTTTCAATATATTTAGATGGGTTAAATGAGTCAACTGCCTCGCTGAGTAATCGCATACTTATATATATATAAATATATATATGTATATATTTAATTTCCCTTAGTTCCTAGAGCAGCATACGGCTTCAGCCACACGCCTCCATTGCATTTGGTTCATCTCCTGTTCACATCGCCTCCTCCATGTCGTCCTCGCACTGACGACCAACTCGCCTCTTCACGTTCGAGTTCCACTCGAGCGATGGCCTGGCGTGGGATGTCATTTGATGGCTTTCTCAGAGTATGGCCAATCCACCTCCATTTCTCCGTGCATATTTGTTTCACAATCGGTTCCTGGTTGGTTCGCTCATTGCCAGATATCCTTGTTGCTGATATTTTCTGGTCGGCCATCTGATCTTGAGTATTGAGCAAAGACAACTGTTGATGAATGTCTGAAGTTTGTTTGAGATGCTCTTTATGACACGCAGTGCAAGTCTCCGATCCGTAAAGCAAGTGGCGCTGATTTCACATTAGAGTTCAAATTCCGGATCTTATTTTTGATGGTGAGTGCTGTTGACCTCCACACAAACTAAAGATTAATGAAGGCTTGTCTTGCTTTTCCGATTCTGGCTTTGATATCCTCGTCAGTTCTGCCTGTAGTTGAAACGATGCTTCCAGGTTAGGTAGGTAAAGCAGGTTGTTTCCTTCAGGTTCCTGCCATTTATGCTGGCTGATTGTTGTCTGTTGTTGTTGCTGTTGATGTTGGCCAGGAATCGTAAACACCTCTGTTTATCTATGTTCACCTGAAGTCCTATCTTTGATGCTTCTTCTGCCAGCTTGTTGCTTTTCACTTGCATATCTTCTAGTTTGTGGGAAATCAGACATATATCATCGGCGAAGTCCAGATCCTATAAGTTGTTAGTGTGAGTCCATTTTATGCCTGTTCCCTGGTTGGTTGCCGTTGTCTGTCTCATTATCCAATCTACTGCAATCAGTAAGATCATTGACAACAGTAGACATCCCTGCCTCACCCTCTCCTCATTTCGAAGGCTTCGGTAAGTTTCCCGTTGTGGATTACTTGGCATGCAGCACTGTCGTATAACTGTTCGATGAGATTTATAATTGTGGACAGCACCCCGTAGTAGCGAAGTAGTTGCCAAATCACCTCTCGATCGACGCTGCGCTATCGAAGGCCTTTTCAAAGTCGATGAAGTTGAGCTATAGAGGTGATTGCCATTCGAAGCTTTGTTCAATGATGATCCGTAGAGTGGCAATTTGGTCAGTACATGATTTATTTCTCCTGAATCCGGCCTGTTCCGCGCCCGTTGTTACATTGATTTAAGTCTCCTTTCTTTGGTAGTTTGAATAAGTATCCTTTCTTCCAATCCTCGGGTACTTTGCCCTCTTTCCACACCTTCTCCATTAATGGCGTCATCAAGTCCTCTGTTGTCTCTGGGTCCATTTTCAGAGCTTCGGCTGGGATTCTATCTGATCCTGCTGCTTTTCCAGCTTTTAGCATCTTGATTGCCTTCATGACTTCTGTTCTCGTCGGAGGGTTGATGTTCGCCTGAGTTGTGCTTCCGTTGTTGGTATTATTGGGCGCATTGTAGGTGGCGGTCGACTCGGAAGTCTTTTGAAGCGTTTAGCCTAGGGTTTCCTTAGCTACACGTCATTGGTGATTGGTTTTCCACTGTCATCTTCCTCTGGCCTAACTTTTGTTGAACGTTTCCTGGATGGGTCCCTAGTTGTTTAGTAGAGTGTGGCGAGGTCTCCTTTGCCTGCAGCTTGATCTGCTTCACTTTTCATGGCTTCAGAATATTTTCTTTTTTCTTCCCTGGCACTCCTCTTTACTCTTTTCATCAGTGTACTGCAGCTTGCACACAACTGTTTTTGTTGCTATATATATATATATATATATATATTTGACTGCATAGTCTGTAAAGGCAGTAAAATGAGACCGATTCACGTACAATGATTTGAGCTTTCCAAGAACCCAGAAGTGAAAATTACCAACACATCTTCACATAAATTGACAATCTTCGAAACATTGGAAATATATAAAAATGAAGTTGTATTTTACTTTATTCCATGTGTATAGTTTAAAGTGAATGAGAATTATACTTTGCTTACGTTAATGAAGATTCGTTTTTGTTCTCACCCTGAAAAAATCAAATGTTAGCAATCAATGAAATCGTCTCTTCCGTGCAGCTGGCTATCTGTAAGTCTACAACTTTGAAATCCAGTGATAATTCAGACTTTATTTCTGGAAAAATAGATGACAGTAATTATGCTATATGAACGCAGAAATCTTTTCCAGTCTGCATCAGAAGAACACTATACCGTGCATGAAATGATATTATCATTGCTTCTTTAGGTTTCTAGTGGAACATAGAAATTCAACTGCACATCTCCGCTTGCTTCTACGTCCTGCTGCATTTTTCACCTGCATCCATGTTAGTCCATACTGTTTCAGCCCCTCTTCACACAATCTCCTCCATGTCACACTTGCACAGACGTCCCACTCGCCGCTTCCCTTTCCGGTCCCACTCGGGAAACTGCCTGACGCGCGACGTCACGCAGCGTCCTCCTCTGCGACTATGCAATCCATCCACACTTTCTCCTGCACATTGCTTGAGCGATAGGTTCTTGTTTTGTTTGTTCCTTCCCATAGTTTCTTGTTGGTGATTCTTCCGGCCCAGGCATCTGATCTTCAGTATAAAGTGAAGAAAGTTGTTGGTAAAGGTTTGAAACAAGCTGTTGGAAATATTCTTTGTGACCCACCCGCCAAGTTTCTGATACGTATAGAAGAACTGACTGACTTGACGTTTGTTTGTATTGAAAATCCGACCGAATTTTGTTGTTGATGTTGAGTGACGAAGATTTGCAGATTGATTTCATTGGTTGATGAATGTGTTTCTCGCCTTCCCGATTCTCGCTCGATTTGACATCCTCGTCCATTCTGACATCCTTTGCTTGAGACAATGCTCCCTACATGAGTGAATGAACTAACCTCATTCAAATCCCTCTCGTTGATGGTGATTGACGCTGGATGCTGCTGTTGTTGTTGTTGGTTGGTTATTTTCATAACCACCGTCTTGTCTATGTTCACTTGGAGTCCTGTCTTCGCCGGCTGCATCTTTGACCAGTTTATCGGTTTTCGTTTGCGAGTCTTCAGTTTGGTATGTCACCAATCATAAATCATCCACGCGCGAAATCCAGGTCTTCTAGATTCCCGGCGTCGGTCCAGGGTATTCCTGTCTTCTCGTTTCCCACTGTCTGACGCATAATCCAGTCCACCACAATTAGGAATTCGTAATGACATTACATTAAGTTTAAGTCATTCTTAATATTTTGAAACTTTTAATAATCGCAAATTTGAAGAAAATAAAAGACAATTCAATGAAGAGAAATTTGTTCGTCGACTAGGTCGTCTTCAGAGCCTGTACAGTCGTATTTATATTCACCAAAATTTATAGTCATCTATTATTGAGTAATACAAGGTGACATAATTGTTTTAATTACTCAGAAGTGGCTTTAGAAGTAAAAATAGAAGTTGTTAATTACGTTATACTCAACAGCGTAATGGAAGAAAGTGTTAGAAATTTGATAAGGTTAAAATTGTTTTTGAGTGAGAAGAAAGGGGGTAGTTGAGTGTTAATTTAACAAGTGTGAAAAGGCTGTGAAAATGTACAAAAAGAATTTATGATTATGATAATAGTGAAATAATTGATAAAGCAGAAGTAAACTTAAAGTATAACTGAAAATTAAAAATTAAATTTTTTTTACAGGGAACAACTAGTGAATATGTTAAGACCGAGGCAGAATAAGAGACTGGAAAACGTTTTCTGTATACAGAGTTCGGGGTTGTACTGACGAATTACCAACGCCTACGCCATATACAAATCCTGAAAACTGACGCCCTTTATACCACTTGGCCTCACCTTGTAGACTATCTTGAAAACCGACTCTGGTGAAGCTGCATAGCTTCGGCTCACACAGTACGCGAGAAGTGAGCATGTAATTGTCTTGCATAGTCATTTTGTTAACCATACCAGATAATGTTCAGAGATTCGTTTGGAAAGTTTACGCTTTGTGAGGCCAATACAACTAGCATTACAAGAGCAACAAATGAATTTACAGACACACATTGAAGTGGCCCAAAGCGGCAGTTTATCCTTCACATATCCGTTGATCGTTTGTCGGCTGTGGAAATTGATACGCAGCTCTGCCATAAAGAAGGCTTTCCTCAGTGATCTGCATAAGCGGTAGGTCAGGATCTCAGTCGCAGTATCACCTTTAAATTCAACGTTCGTAAATAGCAGTCTCTTCGGCATGGTTTGGATTCTTTTAGCCTTTTGCCTTAACTGCATGATTTTCTGCTTGCATCTTGGAGGATAACCATTTTCCATGACGACTTTTCGGAATTGCTCTAATTCCCTATCAGTTGTCTCACTGGAAAGAATCCTTATTATTCATGAGGATAAGCAGGGGATCAGCTTTGTCTTCCTTCTCAAAGGGATCCGACCATGAAATTTTGTAATTTAAAAATATTCCACACACATTTTCAATTAATGAGAACAACGAACTACCTACCAGATTTGAGCTGGTGCTAATATAGTTTCGTCACTGGTTAACACGATTTCTTTTCTTTATATATGCTTATTCAAACGAATGTATATCTCTAGTACCCAATTTATCTAATGATAAGATAACTTGGGATAGTCCTTGATTGCCTCAGTACTCTTAATGCAATATGTAAAGAGTGTAGATGGAACAAACACCAGGGTGGTGGCAAAATTTTCTTAGTTCATATGGTGAGGGAATCCGAGTTTAGTTTAAATCATAACACAACTTATAAAATAATAATAATGATTTACTTTATCTCAAAAACAGTACTTGTGATACAAAATGGAATTTTCAGCATTAATCACAATATTGCATCTAATTTCCTCAAATTATAAATAAAAATTAATCACACAGAAACTCTTCCACATTTACACAAGAGGTAGTGTCAAAAACATGCAGCATATAAAATGGAAATAATAATAATAATGATAACAGCTAGGGTAATAATAATAAGAATAGAAGTGAAAATTGCCGTTCGCTTGTGTCATACAGCATTGGCAATGTGGTATAGAAATCCTAACATGTTTAAAAATATTGAGTAAAATGTTCTCTTTACATGATATAGTGAGGGGAAAAACAAAGATTACAGCCATCATGCTCCCTCTAAATATGAAAGTTCACTTTGATATACTGTAAAATATATATTATAAGGTGAATTATTATTCAACATAAATTTTATACTTACAGGTCTGCACTTAAGCTCAGCAAATAATGTCAAATTGACTACGAGCATTAAACAAATTTAGAAGGGTTTTAAGAAAGGACTCACGCAAGTTAGATTGAAACCAAAATATTCTGAAAGAAAATCATAACGTAAATTCATAACTGAGTAGGCACGTGAATGAAGTAGATTGCCTGCAGATTAATATTCATGATACGACGAACTGCCGGTGACTGTCTCAGGAATCTTTCCAATATATATATATATTCGTACTGTCGCAGTCAGACAAGAATTTTCAACAAGCCTTGTGTATTATACCAGTAGAAGATCTATTGTTTTCATTTCCTGTCTTTCTTAATCCCTTCAAAATGCTTTTGATGCACAAACGTGTGTCTGAAGTTTAATTAATTTCAGGCCATTTTGGTGGACTGGATTATGCGTCAGACAGTGGGAAACGAGAAGACAGGAATACCCTGGACCGACGCCAAGAACCTAGAAGACCTGGATTTGGCGCGTGGATGATTTGTGTTTGATATCACACAAAATCGAAGACTTGGAAGCGAAAACCGATAAACTGGTCAAAGATGCAGCCGGCGAAGACAGGACTCCAAGTGAACATAGACAAAACGGTGGTTATGAAAATAACCAACCAACAACAACAACAGCAGCATCCAGCGTCAATCACCATCAACGGGAGAGATTTGAAAGAAGTCACTTCATTCACTTATCTAGGGGGCATTGTCTCAACTAAAGGATGTCAGAACGGACGAGGATGTCAAATCGAGCGAGAATCGGGAAGGCGAGAAACACATTCATCAACCAATGAAATCAATCTGCAAATCTTCGTCACTCAACATCAACAACAAAATTCGGTCGGATTTTCAATACAAACAAACGTCAAGTCAGTCAGTTCTTCTATACGTATCAGAAACTTGGCGGGTGGGTCACAAAGAATATTTCCAACAGCTTGTTTCAAACCTTTACCAACAACTTTCTTCACTTTATACTGAAGATCAGATGCCTGGGCCGGAAGAATCACCAACAAGAAACTATGGGAAGGAACAAACAAAACAAGAACCTATCGCTCAAGCAATGTGCAGGAGAAAGTGTGGATGGATTGCATAGTCGCAGAGGAGGACGCTGGGTGACGTCGCGCGTCAGGCAGTTTCCCGAGTGGGACCGGAAAGGGAAGCGTTGAGTGGGACATCTGTGCAAGTGTGACATGGAGGAGATTGTGCGAAGAGGGGCTGAAACAGTTTGGACTAACATGGATGCAGGTGAAAAGTACAGCAGTACAGCATGTGGAGACGTGCATTTGAAGTTCTATATTCCACTAGGAAACCAAGGGAGCAATAATAATAATTGTTTGACAGATGTTAGGTTTTAAATAAGTGTGTGTACAGATAGTGCTAAGTAATTCTGTAGAATATTCGATGATTTGATGTATGCATTTAGCCTACTAGATTTGAATACGTGCAATTTTGTGACATGAATTTTAATACATGAGCCCAAATGAAAAATGTGAATAAAAAAATGATCCTTAAAAGAAAAAGAGTGAACTGACTATTGAGGAAAGATCGAAACGACCTGTCTCTGGATAATTTTCATAGATTTTTCAAAGTTTGCTTTCTGTCAAACGGAACATCCAAATAAGTAATTACTTTTACATCCCATATTAACAATATCCTATTGCATATTTGACATTATTAGCTGAATGTCATTTCAAAAACAATTTATTAGTTCACGTTAGACGATGGATTGATATCAGTTAGAGAACCATTAGAAAGCAGGGAGTACTGCGCAGCTATTTCATCCTAGTATACACTCATCGACAGTCGGCACTCACTGAGTTTCGAACCCAAGATTATTTTGGTACAGGGCAAGGTCGTATACCATTCAGCCATTGAGACCTGATTCAATGGCCCATGAATTTTAGCTTCTGTGAATTCGTGATTATCGCTGTGGCCACCAACCAATATCATTGGTGGGAACTTCATCCTCACACTTCACTGCATGGACCTCAAAGGTCACAATTTCTCAACAAAACTTCAGGTCACTTTGTCCTGTAACCTGTGACTAACGTGCATCCGGTGGTATAACCTGAAACAAATACAATCCCTGCAAACTAATTCTTGATTGTTTATTATTTATAACCTTATCATATAATTAACTGTATATATATACTCAGTAGAAAAGGTACTCATTCTAATAAGAATTATGTGGGACAGATTTATAATTACTAACTGAACAACTTGCAAAGAAATCCGGCTTCATTAAGCGGCAAATGCAAAAGAACTGAAACACAGCAATTAAACAAAAATCAAATTATTGTCACTTGTTAAATTTAGATATCGTTGCTTAGCAACAAACAAAGCAAAACTACTTAGTAATTTATTTCTGTTTAAATATAAAGCCTCATGTACTGTACTACCAGTTATAAATACATGAATTAGATCAACCACATTTTTTCTCTCTAAAATACACCCAATGACTTGTAAGTCTACTTTGAAACGAATAACTGACCACAAGATGATCATAGTCAGCATAATTAAATGTAAGCTTCAATTTGTGCATCAGGCATCCAGTGGTAGAATACTCACTATCCGTTCGGGAGATTAGGCTTCCATTCATCACCTATACCCAACTATGCATCGTCTGGTTTAATAACCAATAGTAAACTGAGAAAAAAAGAGAAGTTGAACGTGAATGTATCAACTCCACTCGGTGAAAACAGACCTACTATTTCTAAGTTTCGGAAGCTTGAAGCTTGGTGTTCCTTTGAGAACTCACAACAGCACAAATTTCACTGTTGTACTGATAATGAAAAAATTAGACGAAATATTTAATTTTTATACTATTCACGGTCCTCCGGGCAGGCGTATTATGGTAATTCTTGTCCTCATTTCAGGTTTGAAATGCAGAGTAAATGAAAACTCACGTATAATATACGTGTATAGCCATCGTTAAGTTTCTAATATTCCTTGGATTTGCATTCTAAGCTTATCCTCGTATATTTCCATATATGCTTCTATGAATGACATAATATTGAAGACATAACATTCATCAGTAGTATTGTATATGAAATCTTTGTTATCTTCTATGATGTATGTCAGGTTATTTCGCGATACACTGAAACTGTGACTAAGATGTGTGTTCATAGATCGGAATTGCTCAGTGATAATTCATGCAAATAAGACACGTTTTATATTTTCAATTTACAAAGAAATTGGCAGTTTCCACTTAAAAGAGTTTGAGGTGGAATTCAACCACGACTTAGTTTGAAAAAGATAAATTATTTAGATCACAAAAAATATGATCTGCTGGATAGTAAAAGTGGTAGTTAAGAAGTCATGCATAAATGCATGGTACTATATACTACTTACCAGTTGAAGTAAGTAGATGAATACCACCTAAATCAACCGGTCAGACTGAAATAATCTGAAACCGTGGAAGTTATTTCCCTCATTTAGGGTTGAGATCATCAGCGATAAACTGCTTGATGTGAATGGTATACAACTTCAGACCTCTGTTAGTCAGTAGTATGAAGCGTACTGTATTTAAAACACGTTTAAATACGTTTTAAATACGTTTTTAACTGAATGATTAAAATAACTTTCTGTAAATACACGGGATTTTGCTGATTACAGATAAGAGGATTTAGCTTTGAAAAGACAAATAAACACTGAAAGACTTGGACTTCAATGGTCTTCGTATTCGGATTAATTTAACGTGCTACTTGTAGAGTCATCTGTTGTGAGCATCATCCCCTTTCGTCAGACATTGATTTATTAATATATGTGTAAAACTTGAGCACTGTGGTAGTAAGTAATTCCATATTCGTTTGCTTATTAGATATATCACACAGTGAAACAGTATTGCTATTTACTGGATAAAGTTTCGAACACAATTCATCATGTTCATAATCATATCAATTGTAATCACACGACCTTGAAATCTGAGTTTTATAGTTTTCTTTGTTTTCTCCTATTTGTCGTTGTCAGGGGAGTAGAATTTTCCAGATATCTGGGACAGGTGTTGAATCATTCCTGTTACAAATGTTCACCTCAGTTGATTCGATAAGCAAAGCTTCTGTTATCAATCTCTCCCTATACCCTTTGACATTAGATTTTAAAACTGTCATCCTATCCCATCCTATTGCGTGTAACTGCACGCAGTGAGTGCTGCAGATGAACTATTCTCTAGGTTTCTTATCTTATTTGGGTCAACCAATCTAGATTTTGCTAAGTTTTTTATGTTCGGCCAGTCTGACTGCCCCTGTTTTACTAGTTCGTCCTATGTATTTGACCTCACAATCATTGCAGGGTATTAGATAAACTGAATTATTTTGTTTTAAAGGCTCCACAGGATCCTTTAACCGACAAAGCTTGTTTCTAATTTAGCTTATGGGTTTGAATGTCAAGCACTTTTATTCCTGCCTTATTAGGAATTCTGCGTAAGGCTTCCGAGGTTCCTTCCTTGTATGGAATTACTACTGATGATTTCGATTCCTTATTGTTGGTTGTCATCCCATCCCATCCTATTGAATGGTTATGTGTGGGTGCATATAATGCTTTGGCTGATATCTTAGTCAAATTTATTAATGGCGGATCAATTAGTCAAGAAATATGTAAGTAAATATAAAAATAAAATAAATAATGATAGTAGCGATAGGGATAATAATAATAGTGATAACAATAATAATAGTATTATTAATGGTAATATTATTAATCGTCTCAACTACAGGCGGAACTGACGAGGACATCAAAGCCAGAATCGGAAAAGCAAAACAAGCTTTCATTACTCTCAAATCTGTGTGGAGGTCAACAGCACTCAGCATCAAAAATAAGATCCGGATTTTCAACTCCAATGTGAAGTCAGTGCTACTATACGGATCAGAGACTTGGCGAGTCATAAAGAGCATCTCAAACTAACTCCAAACCTTTATTAACAGCTGTCTCCGCTCAATACTCAAGATCAGATGTCCTGGCAGAAAAGATCAGCAACAGGGATCTCTGGGAGCGAACCAATCAGGAATCGATTGTGAAACAAATAGGCAGAAAGAAATGGAGATAGATTGGCCATACGCTGAGGAAACCATCAAGTGACATCACTAGACAAGCCCTCGAGTGGAACCCGAAAGGGAGGCGGCGAGTTGGTCGTCCAAGGGTGACTTGGAGGAGGTCATGCGAGGAGGAGATGAAAGCATGTGGACAGACCTGGAGCAGGGTGAAAAAGTTGTCAGAAAACCGAAGTCAATGGAGGTGCGCAGCTGAAGCCCTATGTTCCTCTAGGAACTAAAGGATACAATAATAATAATAATATTATTGACGAAACCAACAATAAGGAATCGAAATCATCAGTAGTAATTCCATACAAGGAAGGAACCTCGGAAGCCTTACGCAGAATTCTAATAAGGCAGGAATAAAAGTGCTTGACATTCAAACCCATAAGCTAAATTAGAAACAAGCTTTGTCGGTTAAAGGATCCTGTGGAGCCTTTAAAACAAAATAATTCAGTTTATCTAATACCCTGCAATGATTGTGAGGTCAAATACATAGGACAAACTAGTAAAACAGGGGCAGTCAGACTGGCCGAACATAAAAAACTTAGCAAAATCTAGATTGGTTGACCCAAATAAGATAAGAAACCTAGAGAATAGTTCATCTGCAGCACTCACTGCGTGCAGTTACACGCAATAGGATGGGATAGGATGACAGTTTTAAAATCTAATGTCAAAGGTATAGGGAGAGATTGATAACAGAAGCTTTGCTTATCGAATCAACTGAGGTGAACATTTGTAACAGGAATGATTCAACACCTGTCCCAGATATCTGGAAAATTCTACTCCCCTGACAACGACAAATAGGAGAAAACAAAGAAAACTATAAAACTCAGATTTCAAGGTCGTGTGATTACAATTGATATGATTATGAACATGATGAATTGTGTTCGAAACTTTATCCAGTAAATAGCAATGCTGTTTCACTGTGTGATATATCTAATAAGCAAACGAATATGGAATTATTTTATTTAACCTCATACTTTTATCTACTGGTGAAAGCTTGTAAAATTCACACAAACAGTTTACAAAAGAAAAGGCGCATCTTCGGAAATATACTTTTTATAATCAAGACAATTACTTATTCATATAAGCCACTGTCCAGCTTGACAGTGATACCTCTAAAAAATGTGACTCTTAGCTGATGATATGGTCCCATATGTATTTTTCAGTTGCACAAAAAGTTCTTTTTTGAACCATTTTTAAATGAGTACTATATTTTGAAGCATGTTAGAGATTACAGCTTATTGATAATTCACGTAAAAATAACAATTACTTATTACTAATGAACATAATATACAAGACAGATATTGTTGACTTACCTAAGAATAGAAGTATTTTTGCTGAGAATAATATTTTTCGTGAAAGCATAGTGGTGGAATTTAATGTCTAGATGAATTAAACCACTTATTTGTATACTAAATTTATAGTGATAAGGAAAATGGAATGCTAATGGTCGTGATGTGCAGTTGGTCAAGACTTAGGTAGGTACGTGGTATATCGTGAGATAGATAATTCATCATCCGTCAATCATCATATGAGTACATTTGTTAACAAGTTGTAATTTCTGAAATGTTTTCACAAGTAAAGAATAGTTACAAAGCCTACACAATTAAAACAAAAGCATTTGATCATTTGCAATATATGTGGAATCTTTTGAGTGTTTACGAAAATTCCTGAAAAACTCCTACACAGTATCAAAAAAGGAACCCTTTGGAGTAAAGCTATTATTCTTATTATAATTTTCATTACTTCACCATTATTTACTTAAAGGAATTTATTGAGACGTGTATGATGCATTAGGAGAGGAGATAGCACTACATGTTTGGTGTCTCAAACTAAACGCTTAACCGTTTTCATATTTTTGATTGCGGAATTGTCTCCTGGGTCCATTCAATAGTCACGTTTTATTTTGTAAATTTAGATAGGGAAAATATTCTTGAGTTTACGCATGTATTCAGATGCCTATCTGAATAAATGCGAAAAATGGTCTAAAACCATACTCTCTGACCCCCAACACCCCCTCTATTCCCAACTCTCCCCTTGTATCTCATCAGGTAGAACCAGAAATCAGTACAAAATAATATATGCTCGTACAACCAAGTATAGGAACTCAACGATACCATATTTGGCCCGTGTTCTAAGTGACAGAGACAATGTTGAGCGCGAAACCTATGACTTGCTTTGTTGTTAATAACATAATTTTTACCCTTGTTATTTCTCCCTTATACTCTCTTATTTGTACCTATAGTGAACAACGTTCTCAAACATACTTATCTATCTAAAATTATTATCATTGGCTTACTTTTTTATTCTTTATTCTATTCCTTCTTTTGTGTATCTACTGGTCCTGACTACATTATCACTGTGAGTATTACAAAACTATCCTGCCAATAACCTTCGTGTAATATTAGTTTTTGTGATTGTTTCTTTTTGTTTGGCAATATTAACTGACAATCTTGGTTGTGAGCGCCATTATCACCATCCTCAAATTTTTGTATTACGCAGGATTACTCACACTACCACAACAAACACCGCATTAGTGCTGACAATAAAATACAACAACCTGAAATGTTTATTTCATGTTTGTTTAGTGTAGTTCAATCAAATTAACTGATCATCTTGGCTATAAACATTCTTAAGAACATCTCATAACTTCTTGTATGATTATAGCTGTTACTGTTCACCACGCATGCATATATCATAGCTTCCACAACTAAATAATGAAATATTTTTCATTTTTGGTGTTCATCTTCCTTTCTACTTGGTATCTTTTCGCTTTTTTGTGTTTCTTTTTGGTTTTTTGTTGTTGTTTTTATATTTATTTATTTTTGTAATACTCCTTTCAAATGAGCGATGAAATTAGATGCAATATTGTGGATATGTGCTGAAAATTCCACACTGTACCACTAGTACTGTTCCTGGAATAAAGCGAAATTATTATTATTATATGACTCGCAAATTATGTATTTTTGTAAATTGTAGGAATGTTTTCATTCAGGCATAGTATTGTAACAACAGAAGACAAGAGTCAGGCAACAGATCGTTTATTAAGGAAATCAACACATATTTATAGATTTTCATGTACATATTATAGGCTATTGTTAACAGACAAACACAGTCTTCTGATTGGTTGTTTCTCGCAGAAAGTAAACCGTGCATCTCTTTCTGGCTGTTTCTTGAATATCAGATCATCTATATGTTTACTGTATCCGCCTACGCAAAGCCTTTGTCCTCATTTTTCACACGACCAATATTGAGGGCATAAATATTGACGTAAATTACTGTCCACCAATTTCGGCTATCAGCCAGCTCTCACCACAGTATGACATTGACATGTAGGTATTCAGCATCATGAGAAGATACAATTGTCTACAAAAAAACAAGCACCAAGTTATATTTACCAATAACAAACAACAATCGGCCAGCATAAATGAGAGAAATCTGAAAGAAGCATCTTCCTTCGCCGACATACCTACCCAGGAAGTGTCGTTTCAACAACAGGCGAATGGAACTGTTTAGGATATCAGAGCGAGGATCATCGGCGAAGCAAGGAAAGCTTTCATTTCTCTCAAGTTTGTATGGAGGTCAACAGCACTGTGTATGCAAAATAAGATGTGGATTTTCAACTCCAATGTGAAGTTTGTCAGTGCTACTATAAGGATCAGATACGTGTCCAGCCCGTCACGAACCGCCCTTCGAACAAACTACTGACATTCATAAACAGCTGTCTTTTCTCAATACTCAAGATCAGAAGACCGTTGAGAAAATATCAGTAACAGGGATCTTGAGAGCTAACCAACATAGCAAGAACCGACTGTGTGGAGAAAATGCAAGGTGAAATGGAGGTGGATTGGCCATACTCTAGGAAAAGCATCAGGTGAGTGGCGTCATACACCAGGCCATCACTCGAATGGAAATAGAACGGAAAGCGGGAAGTTGGTCGTCAGTTTGAGGGTGACATATAGGAGGTGATGCGAAGAAGATATGAAAGCATGTGGGTAGACATGGAGCCAGGTGAAAATGTTGTCAGAGAACGGAACGCTATGCAGACGTGTGCCTGAACCCATATGTTGCTCTTGGAACAAAGGAGACAATAATAACAGTAATATATTTAACTTCATTCATTCAGTAAAGTCGTTAATTCTCTGGTTATGAATGTCATCGTCTTCTAAAAAAAATACCTTTGCTACAAAACTAAATAAATGACGATGAATTGCATCAGAAAAGCAACAAACTGGTTGAAAAAACAAGCGGTGCAGCAAGGACTCAAGGTGGACACACAGAAGACAGAGGTGATGAAGATAATTAACCAACGGCGACAAGAACAGCCAGCATTAATAACCACCAAAGTGGGAGATTTGACAGACGTTGCTTCCTTCAATTATCTTTGAAGGCTTTTTTTGACCACTGGCTTTATGCATGAAGATGTCAAATCTAGCCAGAATCGGTAGTTCATGATTTGCTTTCATCAAAATGAGATCAGTTTGGAAATCTTTAGCATTCAGCAGCGTAAGAAATAAGAAAAGATTTTCAACAGATGTGCGAATTTATTTTATTTCATTTATATGACGCATTACGTAATGCATTTCCAGTTGACTGCAGACTTTTGTCAACCGCTGCCTTGACTGGCACCACATTGAACATCAAAGGATTGGAAATAATTAGTGACAAATAGTTTGGGAGTGAACCAAACGAGAACATAGTGCTCAACAACTATGCTGAAGAGACTGTCGAACGACATAGCACGTCAGCCCCTCGAGCGGAATCCAAGTGAGAAGTGAAGAGTGGACCATTCGAGGGTGACATGTAGGAGATCGTGTTAGGAGATGAGAAACTAAAGACAATCGTGTTCCCAGCTGAAGAAGACGGAAGAAGATAGAACAACTTGAGGACATGCTGTTAAAGCCCTATTTTCCACTTGGAGCCTAAGAGAACAAGAATGAAAATAGTTTGCGTTAAACAAAACTTAACTGTCAACATATTGTGACTCGTGCTATTTTGTATAATTTATAACGTATTTTGAATTATACAATTGGTGGATGGTGACTAGCAGTGGAATCCAGGATGCGCATTTCGTCCTATTTGGGACTCGTCAGCTGGATGTACCTGCATTTCTCAGTAAGTGATGATGTTCCCACCGAGGCTCGAACCCAGTACCCATAGTTTCAAACGCCAAAGCGTTATCCACTAGACCACTTGGGCCACGAGAGCCACCTCTTGTGCAACGGGTCATATTAATTATTGAATTGAATTTTTGATTTTGAAATTTTGATTTTGAATTATGCATATAATTCGATAGATGACTTCATGAAAAAGGGACTTCCTTGTCTAAATGAGTGTTTTGCAAAACGTATCATTCATTAACTTAGGTCTGTACGTAGGGCTTACGCCTTACATTCTAGTTACTCTCTACCACCACTCATGGCTGTCCACAAGCTTTTATTTCATAATGACATGTTCTGCTCCATGTCGTCACTGAAGCTGTCTTTTATCAATCAGGTTTCACATGAGCATCTGGAATTTCACGTCACTCGACAGCCATTTCCACTTATGTTTCATGCATCAGCATGCTTTTCTGCATATTCATCGGTTAACCGGTTTCAATACAAGAAGAGCCCTAATTTTAAAATTTTAGCCGGGATCCTTGTAATACCTTCCTGAAGAACTCAAACTTGTGTATTTAAAATAAATCTGCTGAGTCACTTTTAATGCCTTGGCCAAAGTTCAAAGACACTGAAAAAGACCTCTCTCTACTTACGCCACTTACATGTCATTATTGCACAGAATATCTCACATCTGGTTTACTACTGCTATATTTCTAAATTTATTCCCTATTCATTGTACTTTAATCACCTTTTCAAATAATTTTAACCGTCATTTGCCGCTTTCATTTTCTTGGGCGACTTCCAACGTTTTCACATATTGATAATACCTAATTATTCTTCTAATTTTCAAGTATTGTTTTCGTTGGGAAATTCGTTTGATTGGTTGTAGGTGGAACAGTAGTTAGGACTATCGCCGACCATGCATATGGTCTGAGGTTCGATCCCTTGCCGACGCACACTTGATATCTATGGTCGGCCTGCAAAATTTGGGCTACCGATATCCACGCTGAAAATTCCATACTTGTACCAAAAATACAGTGTGGAATCGAGCTGTAATCAAAAAATACGAGCTGATATCGGTTACGTAACCATTGGAAAGCATGAGAGTACTGGATAGATGTTTCGTCCTGGGAGTATGCGAGTGGGGTTAGAGATCCTACCCTAGAAAATCAATCCAGTCGCTACAGAAACTTCAAAACATGAGGGAAGTAAGAACAGTTCTTCTTCTTTAGAATCATAAAGACGGAATGACGCGTTCTGGTTGGAGTCTTAGGGAAACCAATCAACCGATTAACCTTTTTTTCAGTGGAAGAATATATAAGCATGGGTGGATACAACGTCGATATCGTTATGAAATATGCTATTTTCGAATTATTATTGTTTAATTTATTGTTGTATTTGACCTTGTCATGATTGGCGTCTCCATGTACTCACTACTTTTGTTAACAAGCCACACATCTCCGGCAGATATGGACTCACAATC